CCGCCCTAGCAGCCGCGCGTGGCAAGAGGGGGAGTTGGGTTCCAGTGCCACCCCTGCTGGGACTGCGCTTGTGAGTGCTTCCCCAACCTCCCGGAAATTGCAAATTCCTCAGTGACTCTCCTGTCCCCCGCGGCTGGAAGTTTTGGAGAGGACGGGAATACAAGGGACAACTTTTTCCACTCTCTCTATCGGGCTCCTCCTTATTGAAGACCGCACACCTAGGGGCGTGCTGCTGGTCCCTCCCTGACCGTTATTAGTTAGCAGAGGTGGGTGGGGAAAGAGCATCTGGGTTGTGCTTATTCGAAATAAAACATCCTCTCTGGTTGAACTTCGATCGCACCGCTTTCCCGCCTCCCTGTGGCGAAGACGCATCCCAAATGCGAACGGCCAAAGACGTTGAGGTTTTAGAGCGACAAATTCCATCGTCACAGTACAATCTAATGCTGTTAGTTAAATCCAATGCACTTTGTAAATGTGGCTTTCCACAAGCAGGCCTTACACGGCCACCTACGGGGACGAGTTAAATTGTGGGGGCAAGTAGGTTTGACCACCCTGTTCACCCACAGACTAGTTTCCCTTTGAAAAATAAAAAACCCTTGCAACAGCTAAATTTTTTTTAATGCGTCATTTTCTTTGCTTCGGGTCACCTGAGGGTCGTTTTCACCTTGGTGTGACGTGGGTGACTTAAATCCTATTAATTTCCTTGCCGAGACCTTGAAGGGAAAGAGGTATTGAAGCTTCAAGGCTGAGAGAAAGAAAAGAAAATGATTCCTGCATCCTCCCTTCTACCCTGGGGCAGAAAGGAGACTGGCTAATCGGCCTTTCTCCAGGGTTACTCACAGGTCTAGCTTGCAAAAGAGCCTTTCACTCCAGGGAACTCAACCCCAGGGGGACCTCAGAGTCACAGCCAGTTTTATAAAGGCTTTCCATTAAAGACTTCTTCCCAGCCACAGAGCGGCCTGGTGTCTGGAAAGCTGAGTCTTAACTTCACTGTATAAGCTGGTTCCTTGTGTATCTTTCACATAGACAAATGTAAGAGAAGAGGACAATTACTTAATGCAAGAGTTGTTTTGTTTGACTCTTACTGTGACATCATTCAAATATTACCATATTGCAACAACAGTGTCTTCATTAAATACTCCAGTTTGAGTAATAGGTGTGTTAAATAATTTAGCGAACTTGCTTTATTATAAATAGAAAGGGTGGCGTCCCTTACCCAGAACTCCATCTTTGACTGTTTTGAGGGAAAATATGCTTAAAGTACCTTCTAATCCACCACACCAGAAAAAAAATTATTTTTTTGAGTCTAGCATGTTGACACTGGTGTATATCTTTAATACCAGTATTCAAGAGGCAGAGGCAGGCAAATCTCTGAATTTGACGCTAGCCTGGTCTACATAGCAAGTTCCATGTCACCTAGAGTACATAGCAAGATCCCGTCTTAAAAAAAAAAAAAAAAAAAAAGATTTTTCATGTTTTTAAGGGGAAGGGAGTGAATCAAGTTTTGTAGAATTCCGTCAGAATCACTTGGGATTGGTTTGTTGTTTTGTTTGTTTTTTCAAGACAGGGTTTCTCTGTGTAGCCCTGGCTGTCCTCCTATAACATAGAAATTCACCTGCCTCTGCCTCTTAAGTGCTAAGATTAAAGGTTGTATGTTACCACCTCCCAGCAGGGTTCTTTGTTGTTGTTGGTTTGGTTTGGTTTGGTTTGGTTTTTCGAACAGGGTTTCTCTGTATTGCTTTGGAGCCTGTCCTGGAACTCGATCTGTAGACCAGGCTGTCCTCAAACTCACAGAGATCCGCCTGCCTCTGCCTCCCGAGTGCTGGGATTTAAGGCATACGCTACCAACGCCCAGCTCAGGTTTATTATTTTTTAATTTTAAAAATGATTAGTGTTTGTGTGTAGGCACTCCTGCAATGGCATGCCTGTGGAAATCAGAGGACAACTTTATGACATCAGTTCTATCCTTCCATCTTTACCTGGGTCCTGGCGGTTGAACTCAAATAGCTGGTATTGTACCACAAGCACCTTTTACTGGCTGAGCCATCTTGCTGGCCTTATAAGAATCACATGTAATAAAAAAGTCATGATTGGGGTAAGGTGTAGTCCAGTGGTAGAACACCTTCATAAATGGAGCCCTAAGGTTTCATTGCCCAGCCCTGAAGATTTAAAAAAAAAAAAAAAGTATGATTTGAGAACAATGTACAGTCACTGTTTTCAAGCAACAAAAAGCAAAAGCAGCATAATTATCATATTTCTATGCTTTTCATATAGCAGCATTGTGTGTGTGTATGTGTGTGTGTGTGGTTTTTCCTAATAGGGTTTCTCTGTGTTTTTCCTGGCTGTCCTGGAACTTGCTTTGTAGTACAGGCTGGCTTCGAACTCAGAGAACTGACTGTCTCTGCCTCCCGAGTGCTGGCATTAAAGGTGTGTGCCACCACTGCCCATCTAACATAGCAGCATATCTAATAAAAGCTGAATTTGAGTTTTGACCCACAAAATCAGAATTTGTGAAAACTCGAAATGCCTTGTTAATCAATTAGACATTTTTAGCATTTAAAATTCAATGAAGGGATTCGAGGCCCTGGGTTCAATCCCCAGCCTTAAGAAAAAAAAAATGTAAAAACATAATAAACACAGAGACGTCACTATTCCATAATGTTTGGGTTTTTTTGTTTTTTTGTTTTTTTACCAGATTTTGAGCAAAAGGTTGATAATAGTTGACTTCTTCATAAAGTCCTCATTTAGTTACTGAGCAGAGAATAGAGTTAAACCATATGAAAACCCAAATGAATAACACAAGGAAGCCCTTTTTTTTATCTCCTGAATCATCAGTCAACATATTGTAAGGCAGGTCATGAAACACCACACATGATATGACCACATTTTTGTACCTGTAATGGCAGGTGATGTTCTCACTGTGGCTAAGGAATAAGATAAACCATCACAGATTTATCCTAAAGGTCACAGTGACAGATAACTATTACACCAGTGTCTGTGTGACATGGAAAAGGCATGACCTTGTAGGACAGGCAGACCTGTGTTGGAATGACAATACTCTTTCTTGCTTTCTCTTTGCTTCATTTTATTTATTTGTTTTTACGTCATGTATTTGGATATTTTAACTGTCTGTCTATGCAACATGTGTTCCCAGTGCCCAAGGAGGACATAAAAGGGCGTCAGATTCCCTGGAACACAATTGTGTTCCGACTTGTGAGTGCTGGGATTTGAACCCAACCCAGGTTCTCTGTAGCCAGTGCTCTTAATTGCTATGCCACCTCTTCAGTCCCTGTCACTCATTCTTTTGTGACTTTTCCCATGCTTGAGACAGGGTCTCACTGTGTAGCTCTGGAACTCACTATGTAGACCAGGCTAGCCTTGAATTCACAGAAGTCCGTCTGCCTCTGCCTCCTGAGCAGTAGGTTTAAAGGTTCATTACCATGCCCCAATCTTGTATGACCTTTAATGTTTTAAGTAGCTACTCTGAAACAGGTTTGTTCTTAGTAAAATGGGAATAAATTAGCATCTTTGCCCATTTCTTCTTTGATCACTAAACATTTGAGCCCAAGAATCCTCCCTGGATAAAAGATACAATGACAGCTCGAGGGTTAATGTTGCAATTGCCTCTGTGCTGACTGGTTTTGTGTGCCAAAGTGACACAAGCTAGAGTCATCAGAGAGGAAGTAACCTCACTTGAGGAAATGTCTCCATGAGATCCAGCTGTAAGTGATCAATGGTGGAGGGCTCAGCCCATTGTGGGTGGTGCCATCCCTGAGCTGGTGGTCCTGGGTTCTATAAGAAATCGGATTAAGCAAAGCCAAGGGAAGCAGGCCAGTAGGCAGTACCCGTCCATGGCCTCTGAATCAGCTCCTTTCTCCAGGTTCCTGCCCTGCTTGTCCTGACTTCCTTCAGTAATGAACAGTGATGTGCAAATGTAAGCCAAATAAACCCTTTCCTCCCTAACTTGATTTTTGGTCATGGTGTTTTATTGCAGCAGTACAAGCCCTAACTATGACACCTTCCCCTACCACAGGTGGGCTGATCTCACAAGCCAACTATTGAGACACTAACTCGGAGAAGAAATCTTGCTGGGTGGCTCTTTGGAAACAGCATTTCATCACCTTGAAAAAAGGCATCCCTCTGGACTTTGCATGCTAAATGTGGCACCTGGGAACTCTGGAACCAAATTATGGACACAAGTGACACCCTAAATCTGGTGAAGCCAAATGATTAAAGGGACTCTTTGGGTCTTTGAATTGACCAGCTTTGAAGCTGCCCTACTTAGGACTCTTTATGTGAGACAATATGTTTTCTTGACTTGGCATGGTAGCACACACCCAGAGTTCCAGCCACTCAAAAGGCCTTGAGGCGGAGGATTGCTTAAGTCCAAGAGTTTAAAGCCTAGATTGGCCAATGTAATGAGAACCCCATTACATTGTGTGATAAAATTTCTCTTAAGAATTCTCAGAGAGGGGATGAGGAGGTCATCCTGCAGTCAAGAACACTTGCTACTCTGGCAAAGGACACAATTTTCAAGCCCAGCACCCATGTGAAGCCACTCACAATTGCCTGTAAGTCTAGATCTGGGAGATCTGGTGCCTCTGGTCTCCTCAGGCAGCCCCACAC